GCCGCCCGAGGCACTGCAGAGCAGCAACTGGCACTTTGCAGGGCCGTCTGAAGCAGCCGCAAAACCCCAAACCCTAAACCCTAAACCCTAAACCCTAAACCCTAAACCCTAGAAACAGGCCATTTCTGCTGCCAAGCAAGGAAGTGGGAGCGGGACACAAAAACGCCAGCGGCGCTTCTGTGCAGCAGGCGAAACCCTTGCATGCCCCAAACCCTAAACCCTAAACCCCAAACCCTAAACCCTAAAACCCAAACCCTAAACCCTAAACCCTAATTCCTACCCAGTGGCGTCGACAGAGAAAAACTCGAAGGCCTCATCTCCATCTCTGTCGCGAAAGAGAGAGACAGCTGTGCCCTGAACGCATTAAACCCTAAACCCTAAACCCTAAACCCTAAACCCTAAACCCTCAAAGCTTATCAGTGCGACTGAACAGCGCTTGAGGCTCAAGCTGCAGCAGCAGCAACGAAAGCAGCAGCAGCAGCAGCAGAAGCAAAAGCAGGCGTGCGTTAAACAGCAGCAACGTACAAAGTAGCAGCAGCACAGCAGCAGCAGCAACAGCAGCAGCAGCAGCAGCAACAGCAGCAGCAGCAACAGCAACAGCAGCAGCAGCACCTGGACTTCTCCTCTGGGCACTTCTGTGATTAGAGGAGCTGCGCGCTGCAGCAAACGTCTCTGAGGCGCAAAAAGAAATCTTATTTATTTATTTATTTATTTATTTTATTTATTTATTTTATTTATTTATTTATTTTATTTATTTATTTATTTTGAATTTAAAATTAAATCTGAATTGCCTACTTGGGTACGGGCTTTGGGCGGGGCGCCTGAAAAGCTGGCCTTTTGCTGCTGCTGCTGCAGCAGCAGCTCCTGCAGCAGCAGCTGCTGCTGCTGCAGCAGCAAATACAGACAGGGAAAACAAAAAAATGAGAAAATGAGGCAGCAGGCAGCGCCAGCAGCAAAAGCAGCAGCAGCAGCAGCAGCAACACCCGCAACCCCAGCCGCACGGCCGCAGCAGCAGCAGCAGAAAGCATAGCAACAGCAGCAGCAGCAGTTGGCGCTGCTGCAGGAACAAAAGCCGCAGCAGCAGCAAATGCCACAGCAGCAGCAGCAACCCCAGCAGACGCACCAAGACAGCAGCTACAGCAGCAGCAGCAGCAAAAGCAGCGCCAGCAGTAGTAACAGCAGCAGCAGCAGCAGCAGCAGCAAAAGCAGCGCCAGCAGTAGTAACAGCAGCAGCAGCAGCAGCAGCAGCAGGACGTACTGGACCAGTGTTGAGCAGCCAGTCAATTAGCCCAGCAGAATCTGCTGCCAGCAGCAGCAGCAGCAGCAAATCTGCGGAGCCCCACAGCGGCCCGCTGCTGCTGCTGCCAAGTATTGCCATAAGGCGGGCCACTGCTGCGCTGCAGCAGCAACTGTAAATTGCTGCTGCTGCTGCAGCAAACGAAGGCAGCAGCCGCAGCGGCAGCGACAGCAGCAGCGACCAGCAAACCAACAAAGACGGATTCACAGCTTCAAATGCTGCTGCTGCTGCTCCTGCAGCTCCCGTTGCTGCTGCTGCTGCTGCTGCTGCTGCTGCTGCTCTTGAGGGCAAAGAGGGGCCAGACAGCCACAGTGCTGCCGCTGCAGCAGAAGGGGATGCTGCCCACCAAGCAGCAGCAGCACAAGGAAGCACCACCTGCAGCAGCAGCAGCAGCAGCAGCAGCAGCAAAAGGAGGCGTCAACTGCAGCAGCAGCAGCCGAGGTAACAGCAGCAGTTGCACAAGGCAGCTCCTGCAGCAGCACGAGCAGCAACATAGCGACGTCCACAGCAGCAGCAATAGTAGCGGGCACCAGCAGCAGCAGCAGCAGCTGCTGCTGCTGCTGCTGCTGCGAAAAGCTAGTCTAGAGCCCACCAACTGCAGCAGCTGCAGCAGCAAACTGAATCTCCATGCTGCTTTGCTTCGAGGGCCCCTCCACACATAGCCTTCTGCTGCTAGCACAGATATTAGGGGGGCCCCCTGTGCTGCTGCTGCTGCTGCTGCTGCTGCTGCTGCTGCTGCTGCTGCTGGCTCGGCTACTGCGGCGGGCTCCTCCGTGGCTCCCTCCAGCGCCAGCCTTCGCTCCGCTGCTGCTGCTGCTGCTGCTGCTGCTGCTGCTGCTGCTGCTGTGGGGCCCACGGGGGCTGTCAGCAAAGCCACCCCCATAGAAGCCCGCAGCAGCAGCAAAGCAGCAGCAGCAAAACAAAGCAGCCTTTTCCAGTTCAAAACGCATGCAGCAAAAAAGTCATAAAGTGAACCCAGGAGGCCCCTCCCCCAGGAGGGGGCCCCCCTTGGGGCCCCCCCAGGGGGCCCCTCCAAGGGGGCCCCCCCGGGGGGCCCCTCCAGCGGGGCCCCCTCCAAGGGGGCCCCCCCGGGGGGCCCCTCTAGGGGGGCCCCCTCCAAGGGGGCCCCCTCCAGGGGGGCCCCCAAAGAAGGAGAAAAGTCCACTTGGAGGGGGCCCCCTGAGGAGGGGCCCCCCGGGGGCCCCTTAAGGGCAGAGTCATCCAAAGAAGCCTCCGGGGGCCCCCCCTGGTTTGGCCCAGGGGGCCCCCCAGGGGGGCCCCCAGAGGGCCCCCCGGGGGGCCCCCCGGGGGGCCCCCCAGGGGGGCCCCCCGGGGGGGCCCCTAGGGCTTGCTCTCCTAGGGGCCCCCCAAAGGGCCCCTCCAGGGGCCCCCCAAGGGGGCCCTCTAGGGGCCCCCCGAGGGGGCCCCCAAAGGGCCCCTGTGCTAGGGGGGCCCCAAGGGGGCCTTCAGGGGGGCCCCCAGGGGGCCCCTCTGGGGCTGCTGAAAAAGGGTACTGGGGGGCCCCCTTGAAATGAAGAAGTTTGTGGGGGGCCCCCCGAAGAAGTCGAAGAGAAGAAATAAAAAGAAGGAAAAAAGAAAAGGCCAAATGAGTCTGCAAAAAGAGAATTGAAAAGAATTTGAATTTGAATTAAAATGAATTTAAATGGAGTTTCCACATTCAACAGATCCAAACCCTAAACCCTAAACCCTAAATCCTAAACCACAGGGAGGAAAGGAACGAAGAAACTGCCACAAAGAGAGGCCAATCCACGCACCCACACAAACCCTAAACCCTAAACCCTAAACCCCAAACCCTAAACCCTAAACCCCAAACCCTAAACCCTAAACCCTAAACCCTAAACCCTTCTTGCTCACCTTAACAACCAGTCCCTCTTTCTTCTTCTTCAACAAAACTAATAAAAAGAGAATCAAGAAGCAGCAAAACAGCAGCAGCAGCCCCTGGGGGGCCCCCCAGGGGGGCCCCCCAGTACCTTCACTAATCTCATAGGGGCCCTCTCCACTCTGTACCCAGAAGGGGGCCCCCAGGGGGCCCCCGGGGGCCCCCGGGGTCTCTGGGGGCCCCGGGGGCCCCGGGGGCCCTGGGGGCCCCTCTAGGGGGGCCCCCAAGGGGGCCCCCAAATCAGCTGTGACAGGGTACTGGGGGGGCCCCCCTATTGCTGCTGCCATCGGCCTTGAAGGGGGGGCCCCATGAAATGAGATATTCAAGAAGTTGAGCTGCTCTAGCGAGGGTTCATGTTGAGGGTTTAGGGTTTAGGGTTTAGGGTTTAGGGTTTAGGGTTTAGGGGCGGTAGCGAAGTGCCTGGGGTAGCCTCTGCGCGGGTTTGGGGCTGCAGCTTTTGGGAGTTTGTTTGTTTTCTAAGTGTTTAGCCTTTTTAATTTAAAATAATAAATTAAATCAATTAGGGTTTAGGGTTTAGGGTTTAGGGTTTAGGGTTTAGGGTTTTGGAGTGCGCGTCGAGCTGTGCGGTCTCGCGGGAAGCAGCGAGACACCGCTCAGCAGCTCCAAGCAGTAAACCCTAAACCCTAGACCCTAAACCCTAAACCCTAAACACCAAACCTTAGAACATAAACACTAAACCCTAAACCCTAAACCCTAAACCCTAAATTCAGCTCGGTTTTATACTTGTCGCCGAATGCATGTGCGAGGGGCTTAGAGCCAACGCTTGTGGAGCTCCACGTTAGGGTTTAGGGTTTACGGTTTAGGGTTTAGGGTTTAGGGTTTACGTTTGGGGCAGCCTTTGCTTTTCTTTAGAGTTATTCAATGCACAGGCAGCAGCAGCAGGCGCTGCAGCAGCAAAGCCAGCAGCAGCAAAGCCGGCAGCAGAACTGCAGCAGCAACGAGCCCAGTAGCAGCATCTGCAGCAGCTGTAGCAGCAACTGCAGCAGCAGCAGCAGCAGCAACTGCAGCAGCAGGAGCAGCAAATGCGGCGCGCCTTCTTCCTATTCGAAAGTGCTGCACCATACGCTGAATCTACTTGCGAGGGTTTAGGGTTTAGGGTTTAGGGTTTAGGTCTAGGGTTTAGATTCGCGGTGTAGGTTCAAGGCTAGGGTTTAAGGTTTAGTGCAGCAGTAGCAGCTGCTGCTGCAGCAGCAGCTGCTGCTGCAGCAGCTGCTGCAACGTTGGCAGCATCGGAAGCAGCCGCTGCTGCTGCAAGTGCTGCAGCTGCTGCTTCAGTTGCTGCAGCTTCGGCCGCGGCTGCTGTTTCAGTGGCTGCTGCTGCTGCTGTTTCAGTGGCTGCTGCTGCTGCTGCTATTTCAGTGGCTGCTGCTGCTGCTTCATTTGCTGCTGCTACAGCTTCAGCTGCTGCTGCTGCTGCTGCTGCCACTCCTTCTTATTATTTGTTTGCTTCTTAGCAGCAGCAAGCATTGCTTCAGGTGTATGTACACCTCAAATCTGTCCAAAAAACAAATCCCTTTAAAGGGCCCCCCTGGGGGCCCCGTAGGGGGGCCCCCTAAGGGCCCCCAATGGGGGCCCCCATGGGGGCCCCCATTGGGGCCCCCGATGGGGGCCCCACAGCACCAAAAAGCCCCCAAAAAGGGTACTGAAGAGCCCTAGGAGGGTACTTCACTTTCTGGGGGCCCCTGGAGGCCCCTCGGGGGGCCCCTGCGGGCCCCTGGGGCCCCCTCTGGGGCCCCCTGAGGGCCTCCGGGGGGCCCCTGGGGGCCCCCAGTAGACCTTTTGGGGGCCCCATTTATTACGTTTAGGGTTTAGGGGCCCCCAAAGCCTCTTCAAAGCTTCCTCGGGGGCCCCAAGGGGCCCCCAAAGCAGCTACTCAAAGGGGCCCCCCTTGAGGCCCCTTTTGGGGCCTCCCTGTGGGCCTGGGGGCCCCTCTTGGGGGCCCCCTTGGGGCCCCCCGGGGGCCCCCTTGGGGCCCCCCGGGGGCCCCCTTTGGGGGCCCCCTGGGGGCCCCTGTGCGATTTGCTGCAGTATTATTTTGCTTATCAATTTGTATGATTTGTTTGAGGTCAAAGGGGGCCCCAATAAAAAGTAAAGAAAGAAAGTCTAAAAGGGAGCGTTTTGCTGCTGCTAGGCAACCCCCTGTCATTGCTGCTGCTGCTGCTGCTGCTGCTGCTGCTGCTGCTGCTGCTGCTAGCTGGTGTTGCTGCTTTGGTCAGTGTGCTTGAGAAATTGATTGCTGCTGCAGCTGCTGAGCAGCCTGGGTTTGCTGCTGCTTTGTTGCTGCTTGTGCTGCAGCAGCTAAAAAGGGTTCCTTTGCTGCTGCTGCTGGGGCTATCCTTGCTGCTGCTGTTGCTGCTGCTGCAGTTGCAGTAGTTGCTGCTGTGTTCACTACTGCAGCAGCATCTCCTTGGGATCCAGGGTTTGAGGCTTGACGTGCTAAATAAAAAGCAAAAATACTGTTTAGAGGCCTGGCAAAGGCTGGGGGTTTAGGGTTTAGGGTTTAGGGTTTAGGGTTTGGTGTGTCTAGGCACGTCTGACGCCGGGGTTTCCCCGGTCTTTCCCTGTTGGATCTGCAGCAGCAGAAGAAATAAATGAACAGAGTATTGAATTAAATTAAAATCAATATATGACCAAAACCTAAACCCTAAACCCTAAACCCTAAACCCTAAACCCTAAACCCCCAACCCAGCTGCCGACGCAGCTTGCAAACACTCCACCGAGCTGGAGCCTCGCCCCCCGAAGGACGATCTGCTGCCCCTGGGCCGCGCAACAAATTTAATTTTGAATTTAAATAATTAAAAATGTTTAATTTAATTAATTAAATTCAAATTCAAAGGATTTCATTGCGTTCTCCGAGCTTGCGGCTTCCGGTTGCTGCGAGCACAGGCAGCAGCACAGCGCGCAGTGTCTGTACACCTCAGCAGCAGCAGCAGCGCTCCTGAGTACACCTGTCGCGCATTTGACTTTTCGATTTAATTTCTCAGTTTAGAAACTGTTTTTTGTTTGTTTTCACTTTTAAATAAATAATTTCAATTATTTAAACTGTTAATGGCGAATTAGACCGCCATTTACCTTCAGAAGCACTGCGGTGTACAGACACCTCTTGTTCTCGGCGCTTCGGCGGAAATGCTCATTTGCATTCTCCACACTTCTGAACAAAATCTTTCTTTTTAAATTTTATATATTTTATTTATTTTATATATTTTATTTATTTTATCTATTTTGTTAATTTCCTTCTTTTCTGTTTCATTTAATCCGTTTGTTTCTGCTGCCCAGTACTTGAGCATATATCGCACACTCCTCTGTTTATACTTGTGCACATTTCGTTTCCTTTATTTCCTTTTCTTTTACCATTTTATTTATTATTTCATTTTCTTTGTTTATTTTGTCTTTCTTTTACTAATTTATTTATTTTCTCTTGCTTCTGATGGTTCTTTTTCTCATTTTATCTTCAATTTGGTCTTTTTCTCCCGCTCTTGCGCATTCACTCTCTGCAGAATCAGCTCCTCCAATAAAAATGAACTTTACGAATAAATGGGGGTCTTCTTCTGCACCTGCTGAAGGCGCAGCAGAGACAAAAAGAGGCAAAGTAGAGTGGGGACAACTTAATTATTTTTTCGAAAAAGTAGATCAAAGAAAAGCAGCAAAAAAAGACCAATTTGGCTCCAAATTGATCTATTTTTGCTTCTCTTTGTGAAGCAAGAGGCTTTGCTGCTGCTACACAAGTCCCCTGCCTTCTAAGAAAGTCCTTCGAAACTTTTAATGAAAATAAAAGAAAAGAAAAAAACTCAAGAGGGTTTTATTTACACTAAGCTACTTCCCGCAAAGGACGAGTTCCCCAGAGCAATCAAGCCCTAGGGGGGCCTCAACTCTAAATTATTCTTTTAATTCTTTTTCCCTCAGCTTCAAAAGTCTGGGGGCCCTGGGGCCCCCCAACCATTATAGACAAGTCTGTGAGCGGGCCCCCCACAATTAAATTACGTGTATATATATATATATATATCATATATATATATATATATATATATGTATATATGTTACATGGCCACTGTGGCTCAAAGTGACCTTGAGAATCAGGAAAGTCATATAATTCAGAAAGTGCAGATTTGATAAATGTTGAAAGAATTTGAATGCAAAGGGACTCAGACTCCAGAAACTGGGGCCCTCTGGGCCCTCAGGAGGCCCCAAAAGCTGCTGTCAGCAGGAGAGCTGCTGCTGCTGCAGCAGCTCTTGTGCTGCAGCTGGAGAGCTGCTGCAGCAGCAGCAAACAGCGCAGCCACAGAGGGGGCATTTGGGGGAGACGGGGACAGGTGTTTTCGGGAAAAGGCCGAAAAGGGCTCTTTTTTAAATCTTTTAATTGGCAAATGGTTTCTTTATTGAGGGAAATCAGGCACGAATGCAAGTAGCAAGAACGGCAGAGATAACTGCAGAAGAGTTTTACATTTACTCTTTTACGAGAACAGCGAAATTAAAAGTTTAGAGAAAAAACTAGCAGCAATTAGCCTTCTGTTGCTCCGGGCAGTGGGGATCAAGATTCCCCCTCAGGGTTTTTTTTGGATTCCCAGATTTCTTTGGCAGCTCAGCTTTCTGCTCAACCAGAAATATTTTTGCGAACTTCTTCGACTAAAATCCAGAAAAGGAATCAACAACTCCAGTTCGATAAGAGGGCCTTTCTTGCCTCAGCCAATTCAGCAACTCCGGGGGGCTGAGTCCTTTTTTGGGACAGTTTCTAAAACTTTTAAATCCACGAAATTCGCCACAAACACTAGTTATGTCAAGTCCCTTTTGACCCATGAAAAGAAGGCCACAGAAGGCTGGACTTCCCGGCTTTGGCCCGCCAAAGAGCCCTGTTTCTTGCCCAATTGATCTGAAGATTTTATTTTAATTTTACATTTTTTGTTTTTCTCCCGGAAGAAGCCGCTGAAGGCTCACGGGGGGACCTCCAGAGTTTCACTTTGCGATTTCCGCAGAAGCCCCTGGGGTCGGGGGAAATATGTTTTTTCCTTTTGAAGACTTTTTTGTCTTAAAGCATTCCAAGTGCATGCAAATGACTCCAACTTAATAGTGCCAAGTCCAGAAGGGAAGCGCACGGGACAAAAGGGGCATTAACGGGGAAGTTTGAAAAGCCTTTTTGAGTCTCGATAGAATACTAATACCTTCATAAAGTCAACTGCAGCCCCTGTAGGTCTCTTAGCGAAAAAGTGAAAAATGAAAAAGAGAAAAAGAACTTGACCAGCAGCAGCGGCGACGGCTGTAACTGCTGCGGCTGGTGGGCCCCAAGGGGGAAAAGAAAGCCGCAGGATTTGGAAGTTTTCTTTTTTTCTTTTGTCATTTAAATTGGGAAATGAAAAAAAGACTTTTTGGAGGCAAAGGGCTGCGACGCCCCAAAGCCAGGGGCCCCGGGGCAGCTCTTTTGCCTTCTCTGCTGCTGCGCAAAGCTGGTGGCTAGCAGGGCCTCGGGCTGAAATTTTGAAGTTTTTGAAAAAGTAAATCAAATCCTGGAGTTTTAAACAAACAAGTAATGGCATTTCTTGTTCATTTAAAGACTTGCTCGCCCCGCTGCTGCCCCCGCAGTGCAGCAGCCACGGGAAGCAGCAACAGGCCCGGGGGCTGCTGGCAGCAGCAGAGCTGCAGCAGAGCTGCAGCAGAGTTGCAGCAGCGCCGCTCGGCCTCTTTTGCTGCTTCGACAGGCAAGAGCAGCAACAGCAAAAGTCTGAGACTTCTCAGCGAATTCTGTTGCTGTTGCTGCTGCTGTTAAATGTCTTGGTTCCATAAGATAAAGGAGTTTATATGGACCAAGGGGCCTCAAAAGCTACTTTTTTTGCTGCTTGCTTCGTGTTGCAGCAGCTCTAAGAGGCAGAGGGGGGCCCCACAGTAACTACCTGCAGCAGAGGGAGGACACTAGCCACTGCTGGCTCGACACCCCGGGAAGCCACTGAGATAGATCTGCACCAGCAGCAGCAGCAGCAGCAGCAGTTGCTGCTACCGTAGCAGCAGCAGCTGCTGCTGCATAAGAGCCTCCAATGCCTCCCAGCGGGCAGCAAAATGCAGCCCTTGAGCTTCGCCTTCAAACTGTGCAGCGCCACGCTGGCCAAAAGGAGAAGTGCTGCTTTTGAAAATAAAAAGATAAAATGAATCTGATTTGGCAAAGAACTAAAAATTAAATTTGATGCTTTTAAATGGCAAAAAGAATCAAGCGAATGCAGACAGAAGCGAAGCTCACTAAGGCCTCCGCTTTTGCTTTAACTAAAGGATGCTGCAATGGGGCTGCTGCAGCTGTGCTGCAGCTGCGCTGTTGCTGCAGCTGCGCTGTTGCTGCAGCTCCGCGGAGCTGCTGGCACAGCTGCAGCAACTGGTAGCTGCTGCAGCTTGCCGCAGCTGCCTCTGCAGCTGCAGCCACTCGCAGCTGCTGCTGTTGCTGCTACCGCTGCACAGCTGCTGCTACTGCTGCAAAGCTGCTGCTGCTGCTGCTGCTGCAAAGCTGCTCAGGGGCCGCTGGGCCCCGAAGCCCCAGCCGTGCGGAGCCTTTTAGGGCCTTAAGAGTCTCGGGGGTTTTTGTTTCTTTTTTTACATCTTCCCTTTTGAAATACTTTTCATTTTGAAAACATTTGATTTAGCTTTTTGCATTTTAATTATTCGATCCTTACTGAATTGCTGCTTGTTCCACCAGTTTTTCCCTTCGTGGCGAAATTGCCTTCTTGTGTTGTACAATGTTTTGAATGAAATAATTGCCAAAACATTTGATATCAAATTACTTTTTATTTTTTATTTCGGGAAATATATTTTGCAGAAACACAAAGGGCAAATAACTCGCCCTTGAGCTGTTCATGCTTTTGGGACCTCAAATGGATATATTTATTTATTTTTTTCCCTTTTGTTTAGTCAGAAAAGAAAAGGTCTTTGAGCTCTTTTGAAAAAGAAACAAAGTAGACACTGCTGCTCTTTGTCTCTCTGCAGCAAACGAAACCAATCAGAAGAACAAAGCAGCAGCAGCAGCAGCAGCAGCAGCAGCAGCAGCAGGCAAAGCCCCTGCTGCATGAAACGCCAAAGCCCCTGAGCTCGAAGCTTCTGGCATGAACTATTGAAACGTCTAAGCCCCGGAAAAGATGTAAGAGGTTTAGTTCTTTCTTCCTAGGGAGAGCCAAAGTTGCCACTTTTGCATGCATGCATGCATTCATGCATGCATGCATGCATGCAGCTGCTGCTTTTGCTGCTAAAAGCCGCAGTGGGGACTTGTGTGCAGGGTGGCCTCCCCAAAAGGTGCGAGAAAGTCTTTTTCTCTTGGAAGACCTTTTTGACTTTTTCTTTTTGTGTTTGTAATGAACTATTTTGAGCCTTTCAAAGCCCTTCTTTGTGCGTTTATTCCCGCCGGATTTTTATTAAACTTCTGTTGTTAATAGTTTTAATTATTATTTCATTTTATGGGGTTTCACTTTGGTGTGTGATTTGCACCAAGTGGCCACTTCGCTGTTACTCAGTTTTTTGGATTCAAAAGCCCTTCAACTTCGTTTGCTGCGTTCTTAAAGGTTTGATAAAGTCTTTTGGACTTTTTTCTGTTTTTAATAACTCTTTAATCTTAAATTTAAAAGCACTTTTGCAAAAAGAAGAAAATGTTCTTCGTTGGATCCCGGAGGCTCTGCGGCGCGCGGTGGCTGGGGTTCAGGTGTACGTACAGCTGGCGGAAACGCATTTATTTGTTTGAAAAGATGAATTAAAATTCAAAAATAAAAAAGTAATGAAAATAATTCAAATAAATGTGCGCGAGAGGCCACGGGATGGGTTGCTTCGGGTGCTGCTGCTGCTGCTGCTGCTGCTGCTGCGGCGTTTCCTCTCCCGCTGCTGCTCCGGCGCTGCCGGCGGCTCTTTTTGAGTTTTTTGCTTTTATTTATTAAATTTATTTATTTAATTTTAATTTAAATGGAATTCTTTCGAAGTTTTCGCAAGTGTTGCGGAGGCTCAGAGCAGGGAGGCTCGGGGGGAGCGAAGCAGCAAATTCGGACGGGGGAAACATGAAATAAATGCATTAGTTATCTGCTGCGAGGCTTGCTGCAGCAGAAAAGAACAAAATAACAAATAAATAAATAAATAAATAAACAAATAAGAGTCCGAGGAGCAGTAAATTGCAAAGCAGTGAAGAGCCCGAGATCAGACAACTCAAGAAACAGAACCGATCCCAAGTCGAGCGCACCAGCTGCGGCAGCAGCAGCAGCTGCTGCTGCTGCTGCTGCTGCTGCTGCTGCTGCTGCTGAGAAACAACAGCAGCGCGATCTGCAAGAGAAGGCGAAACTGCAGCGGAATGGCAAATAACAATAGTTGAGGAGGCCGCAGGCGCTGCAGTCGCGAGGGAGCTGCAGCAGCAGCAGCAGCAGCTGCAGCAGCAAGAGCAGTCGCAGCAGCAGCAGCAGAGCGCGATCCTTGGCAGCGGTGGCGTGTCTAGTCCGCTGCTGCTGCTCCGCGCGCCCCAAAGCCCAACTAGTTGCATGCAATTGAATTAAACATTTAAATTAATAAAAGAATAAAGCAAAAAAGAGAAGAAGAGCGCTGCTGCTGCTGCTGCTGCAGTCCGGCGGTGGAGGGTGTGGGCTGCAGCAGGAGGCGGCACCGAGGCGGCTGCTGCTGCCCCCGGGGCCGTTCTCAGCCCCTTCTGCTCTATTTTTTGCGCCTTTTCTTCTCCAAATGAGCTTTATTTGTTTTAGTGGTTAATAAAAAGCGAAAAAAGGAGAAAAAGAGTCGGAAAAACAGCATCGAACGAGCTCGGCAGCTGGAGGGGGAGAGGCGGCGAGACCCACAGCGGCAGCGGGTGTTGCTGCTGCTGCTGCTGCTGTTCGTTTGTTTTCGTCTTCAGTTTTTGTTCCATTTTATTTTGTAAATTATTTGGCATTTTAATCCAATTTAATCGATTTGATTGCCCTTTTGTATTCGCCTTCCTCCCGCTGCTTCTCCCCACGGCAGCAGCAGCAGCAGCAGCAGCAGCAGAGCTGCCCGTACACCCCGGCGACCCGCGTTGGTTTGGTTTTCCAGGGTTTGTTTCTTCCTCCATCATTTCTTTTTTTTATTTAAGGGAAATCGCGGAATGCGGCAGTCCATTCCGTGCGTTTGCTGCAGCAGCAGCAGCAACAGCAGCAGCAGCAGCACGAGCAGCAGCAGCAGTTCCTAGCTCACAGTTGACCTCTCTTTCCTTTCAACCCCCAAACTCTCAACACACAAGGCTGCCTCCCAAATGGAGCAGCAGCTTTAGCTTCTTGGGTTCTTTTTCTCAGCAGCAGCAGCAGCAGCAGCAGCAGCTGCGGCTGCGGAGCTCCTGCCGCCAGCAGCAGCAGCAGCAGCAGCAGAGCAGCAGCTGCAGCAGCAGTAACTGCAGCAGCAACAGTGGGACTATCTGGCGCCCGCCTTTCTCTGGGGCTCTCTGCTTGGTGTCTCTCTTTTGTTTGTCAGCCCGTTTTGCTGCTGCTGCTGCTGCTGCTGCTGCAGCGCCTCCCCCAGCTTCTACCTTTATATAAGTATATAAGTCTATATATTTATATAACCCAGCAACAGCAGCAGCAGCAGCAGCACCAGCCGCAGCAGCAGCAGCAGCAGCGGCAGCAGCAGCAGCAGCAGGGCCCCACAGCCTCCTTTTATTTAGTTATGGATTTAATCTTTAGTTGTCCCCCTGCAGGTGCTGCGTACACCCCAGGCCTAGGGCCCCCCCACGCAGCAGCAGCAGCAGCAGCAGCAGCAGCAAACTGCCACTCGCGGCAGCCGCCCCTCCCACACCCCCTCCAGCAGCAGCAGCAGCAGCAGCAGCAGCAGCAGCTGGAGCAGCAGCAGCAGCAGTACCTCGGGGGCCCCGCGTTGGTGGGGCCTCCGGTCTCCGTGGAGACGGAGACGGCAGCAGCAGCGGCGGCCTCTGCTGCTGCTGCTTCTGCTGCTGCTTCTGCTGCTGCTTCTGCTGCTGCTGCTGCTTCCCTCTCCCTCTCAGCAACGGTATATTCTTCTCCCCCTTCTTTCTATTTAAACCACTCCGAAGGCGAGGGCCCCTTTATGGGTTCTTATGCTGCTGCTGGGTTTGCTGCTGCAGCAGCAGATGCAGCAGCAGCAGAAGCAGCAGCAAATGCAGCAACAACAGCAGCAGACACGGCCGTGGGGATGGGCAGCCACGCGGCGGCGTTCCAGCCAGACCCTGCTGCTGCTGCTGCTGCAGCAGCAGAAGCAGCAGCAGGGCCCCACTATCAGCCTCTGGTGTATTTGTCAGCATGCAATGAGCAGCAGCAGCAGCAGCAGCAGCAACTTGCTGCGGTAGGGAGTCCTTACTGCAGCGCGGGCGGCGCAGGGGTGTACGGAGAGTGCAGCAGCTGCTGCAGCAGCAGCTGCTGCAGCTGCTGCTGCATGAGCAGCAGTCTGGGCTGCATCGGCAGCAACGGCTGCTGCAGCTGCAGCACCTGCGGCAGCGGCTGCAGCAGCTGCAGCAGCAGCTGCAGCAGCAGCTGCAGCAACTGCAGCAGCTGCTGCTCCCAACAGGCAGCAGAGGCGCCGCAGCGCTCTCCGTCTGTCTCCTTTTCGCAGCAGTATTCAAAGGCCTATAATATATGCATGCAGCAGCAGTGCCCCCCGCTGCAGCAGCAGCAGCAGCAGCAGCTGCTGCAGCAGTCGCTGCAGCAGCAGCAGCAGCAAAAGCACCCCAATGTAGCCGTTCACAGTGGCACCCTCAGCTGCTGCAGCAACAGCAGCCTGCCGGCCCACGAAGAGCCTTGTGCTGCTGCTGCTGCTGTTTTCTGTGGGAGCCCTTTGCTGCAGCAGCAGCAGCAGCAGCAGCAATATGTTCAGGGGGGGGTTTGCTGCAGCAGCGGGACCGCGGAGCCGTTCTCCCCTGCTGCTGATGGCTGCTGCTGCTACTCCAATGTGCAGCAGCAGCAGCCGCAGGTGCTGATGCAGCAACAGCAGCAGGTGATGCAGCAGCAGCAGCAGATTATCAGTCCTTATCTGCTAGAGGATCCCCAGCTGCTGCCTGCGGGTAGCTGCATGCCCGTAGAATGCATGCAGCAGCAGCAGCAGCAGCAGCAGCAGCAGGAGCAGCAGCAAGTGCTGCAGCAGCCTACCGTGAGCGAGGCTTACTGCGGCTCTTACTTGGAAGCCCTCGGGCAGCCGTTTGAATGCATGCAGCAGCAGCAGCAGCAGCAGCAGCTCGTACAGCTGCAGCACTGCAACGGCTTGCTGCTGCTGCAGCAGGAGCAGCAGCAGCAGCAGCTGCAGCGCAGCATGTCCGATGGCTCAACAGTCTCTTCTTTGTGTATCCGCGGCGCCTCTGAGGAGAGCGGCATCAGCAGCGTCAGCAGCATCAGCATCAGCAGCAGCAGCAGCAGCAGCAGCAGCAGCAGCAGCGAGGAGATGCACCGCTTCTCTCACGGGCGAACAGCTCATCAGGTAGACGACGCGCTGCTGCAGCTGCAGCAGCAGCAGCAGCAGCAAGAGCAGCAGCAGCAGCTGCTGCTGCACGAGCAGCCGCTGTGCCTGTCGGTAGTAAATATGTCGCTGGACGAGTGCCTGCAGCCGCACTCCGCAGCAGCAGCAGCAGCAGCAGCAGCAGCAGCAGCAGCAGCAGCAGCAGCAGAGAAGTCCGAGCGGCTGCCTCTGCTGCCTCCGCACAGCCCGAGCGGCCCGAGCCCGAACTTGGCGTCCCCGCCCCCCGCTGCTGCGGCGAGCAGCAGCAGCAGCAGCAGCAGCAGCAGCAAGAGCAGCAGCAGCAGCAGCAGCAGCAGCAGCAGCCCGTCCGCGCCTCCGTCTTCTCCCTGCTGCTGCTCCT